AAAAAAAAAAAAAAAAAAAAAGCAAGCAAAGAAACTGGTTTTCCCATCACTGCACTTGTTAGAAACAGAATGCCTAAAAACATATTTGGAAAAGAAGTATTGCTTTAAAACTACCCTAAATCCCTGATGGCAAATACCTGATGAAATGAGTTTGGAATGGACATGGAATATGTCTCTCTGGAAGCAGTCTGGTCAAGGAAGGAGCAAGCTAAATGTACAACCTTCACTATAGTTTTAGACTAAGGTGATCAGCAATTTATTGTTTATGAATGTTTTCACACACAAAAAAGACAAACTTTCAGATCAGCTTGCCTCAGAACCCCAAACCATTCAGAACCCAATGAAGTAACTGAAATTTAGAGATCTCTTTCCATCAATCCAAAGAATACTGGCCACTATACTAAGAGCAAATGCCCTTTTTTGCCATTCAAATGTTGCTAGGAAATTCCAATATTGCTCTGACCCCCACATTTTTCCAAAACAGGCATTCCTTCTAATAAGCATTCTTCTGCCAGAAAGATTTATAAAAAAAATATCAGAAGATGAAGAGGGAATGAAAAAGAGAATACAGCAGCCATGTATACTAAATTTGAACTGTCGGTGAGTTCTTGGACCACCCACCCCAAGGTGCTTGCACATAAGTCTGCTGAGAAAAGCTCTTTCTTTGATTAAAAAGTCTCTGGCTAAGGTCTCCAAACTTTTCTCCTTGGGCAGAATAGGCTAGAAATGCCTCCTTGCTTACAGTAATGCTACAAATGACTCCTCTGAGGACATCTCCCCTTCCCCAAAGAAAGCCTGACAAGGAAACAGCAAAGCATCCTAAGACACGAATATGAACATGAACCCAGTGTTGGAAGCTTGGGAGCAGTGACTGTAACGAAGTTAACTGTGGAACTTCTAAGGACTGAATTTAAAGGGCACATTGGAATGGGGTTAACAACGTGACTGTGGCTGTGTAGTAAAATACGGACGGGAAAGGGAAATGGGGCAAGAGGTGTAAATAGGTTTACTTACAGCCCTCGAAGCCGAAGCCAGATTTTCTCGATCTGCTCAGGTTGCAGGTACTTCAGAGAGTTGCTCTCGAATTCTTCAATCTCCTTGGTTGGAGACTCCATAGCTGCAGGCTCTCACTGGGGGCGAGGAGGAGAGAGTTGGGGATGTCCCCTCCCTCACTCCTCTCAGGGTCCAGCCTTCGATCCCAGCTCTGCTCGTGTCACTTTCTCAGTGCGCCCCCTTTCGCCTCTACCCTCTTATCCCAGGGCCGGCTCAGAGCTGCCTCGGATCTCGGGCAACTCCCGCCCCAGGTGCGCCTGGGAAGCAGCAGCGGAAATCAGACATGGTCCCGGGCTACCGCCCAGGGGAGGGAGAGGTAAATCGCCCCAGCTCCTAGAGGAAGCGGCTCGGACTGTTTCACTCCCCTAAACAAAGCCACCGACCCAGACGATGCACTCGGCAGCTGAAGGATTTGGTGGAGAAAAGGAGAGCCGGGTGGGGAGGAGAGAAGAGGAGGAGAGGAGGGGGGCTGAGTAGGAGGAGCCGGCGCAGCAGGAGAGGTCGGACCTCAACTCCACTCCGCCTTCCGCCCAGGGCCTGTCCCCTCGCTCTCCGGCCGCTCCATCGCACCCCTTCTGTTTTCTCTCACTTACCAGCACCTCCTCTGCTGACAGGCGAGAAAACTGACAAGTGGGAAAAATCGGCTGTCAGCGCGCTGGACTGGAGTCTGGGCTGGCCCCGAGGGCTGGCAGGGAGGGCGCACCGGGCACCACGGTCTGCAGGGCTCGACGCGCCCCGGGCCCCAGGCCACCCCTGGCCTGGAGCCGCGCAAAGAACACTGCTGCCAGGGAGCGCGCAGAACCCACACGGAGGGAAGTCCGTCCCCATCCTTCCAGGGGACTCCAGGCCCTGAGGAGGGGTCCTGGGGTACTGCCTGCAGCTTTCCTTCACAAAGTATGTCTGTTTCCAATCAAAACTCTCAAACGGGGCACATATTCCCAGAAAACACGGAATTTCCTCACGTCGAGGACGCACACCTCTCAGGGGCTCCCTGTGGTGATGGCTGGGGGCTGTTGATTGTTAGTAAAGAGTTTCAGCGCCACAGAGGGGCAACTCACTGTTGGTTATTTAATCTTTCACAGTGGCTATAAAGGTATGGAGTAGAACAATGGGACCAGGTATGGAGTTGATATCTGGAGGACAGGACATAATCCAAAAACAGGAAGGGGGGGCCTTCCTGTGCAACCTAATTACAACCCTAACAACACAGAACTGGTCACCACACTCTCTTTTAGCTGAAGCCACCACAACTCCCCAAGAGCCACTGCAAACTCAGGACTCAAGAGTTCCTTGAAAGTCAAGGTACAGTGCTTTTTCCTCCCTGGCAGGTACTGCACTTTTTTTTCCAGCCCTGCTCCCAGTGATATTTTTCTATCTATCAGATAAATGCTTACATAAAGGTGAGGACAAGGTTTTCTTCATTGGTCAAATTCCCATCCATGTCTCCTTGACAAAGGAACAAAATGACTGTGCTTAAATTCTGAATGTTTGCCCATTTGATGGTTAGCATTCACTTTCCAATTACTGGAGGTTACAGTAGTAAGGATGATATGGCTGGCCCTATACAGCAAGACAAGCATCAGATTCTTGAGGTGCTTGACCAAAACAGACTTTCCAATTCTCCTGCCACAGATTCTCAAGTTATTCCGTTAAAGTCGGTCCTTCCAGATGTTCCGGAAGCACAAACATCTTCACTGAGTCAAGGCATTATTACCATGCAAAAATAACATTAAGCAGCCAATGTATATTAATGTGGAGTTCATTTATCAGAATCAAACCAAGTACCCACTCAATATCATCCAGCTTAGAACAGTGACCAGGAGAAATCAGATGCCAAAAGGAGAAATTATTTTTGCAACTTGTTTTGCAGATGGAAGATTAGAAGCATGGTCCCCAAATGGGATCCTTCCATCGATGTGTGCCCTTGGGTAGCAGCTGTCAGAATGTGGAAGTGTGGTCATGATAAAACAGCAAGCACACTTTAGGAGCTTCCTCTGGTCCAAGCACCATCCCTACAGGTTCTCCACTCATGTAACACAACAACCTGAGCTGATATTATCATCCCCGTTTTATAATATGAGAACAGAAGCACCAAGACATAATGTAGTACAAAGAGCACTGAACTAGAAACAACTAGGTGAAGGCAGAGCTCATTATCTCACCCTGTACTTTTAAAGCAGGTACCCCACAACTCCCATTTTCCATATCCAAGATTTTCAAAGTGTTTGAGCAACAGAATATTTTATTTCAAATAACATAAGAGATCCCAATGCACACCTCATCTTCAAAGCATACAGAGAGCTGCTCCGATTGAAAGTTGTTTCTCAGGGAATTTAATTACCATCTTTGTCTTCCCCCGTCTCCGAGTGCCCAATGCTCCTACTTTATAGATGAGAATGAGGCCAAAGTATCACAAAACAGTTTAGGGTTCCTCACATCTAATCCAGAATTCTAAAACACATGAAAAAATAAGGGTTTTTTTTTGTCAATGACATATTACTATTTTCAGATGAACCATGTTATTAAGTCACTCAGATTTTGTTCTCCTTGTTCATTACAGACAGAGCAGCCTTGATAGTTGCAGCCACACTACAAGCCACAAGTCTATTGGCATTCTGCTTAAGACAAGCAAAAAAACTAATGCCCAGAAATAAAAGGCCTAAGAAAGCACAAAGCTACTTGCCATTGGAGGTTAATTTTCATTGTGACCTCCTAGCTCAACTTTTTGAGTCAAACATCAATAAATATTTTTAGAGATGCATGTATACATGCATATATACAACAGTTTAAAATGGTACCCCAAATATACATATCATAACTTAGCCCAAGTACCAGCAAACCCCTGCTTTGTTACCATTAAGTATTTTAAAAGACTAGAAAGTAAGTTCAAGTAGAAACTGGGTAACTACTTGACAAAGAAACAGGAATCATGCTTTGTAGGCATGAGAATGACACCCCAGGTCTCATTCATCTCTAAAATTTCATGATTTGATAATAATCACAATTATCATCCCTACCAGTTATTGAGAACCAATGTACCAAGCACCACACTGAGCATAGCACAAGCTGGATATTCATCCTCAACAAAATAGCTCTATATAGCTTCATTACGCCCACTGTGCAGAAAAGACTCCCCTAAATCAGATAACTTTTACAAAGATAAGCAGCTAATAAATGGCAGAGCAGGTCTCAGACCTAAACCAGAAGGCAAAGCACATGTTCGTTCACTTTTATTATATCACCTCTTTGCAAACATATAAAAGACTAGTAGAAAAATAGATACTAGAGAAGGTAGGGCTGCAGCAGAACCAGAGATAAGGGGGCCACTCATGCTGCAAGGAAATTAGTGGGCTATACAGTGAAAGGACATTTGAACTGGATCTTGAAAGTGGGCGAGCAGAAGTTGCTTTCATGGAAGATGGGTGGAGGCAGGTGACTCCACAAAGAGGAAACAGCATGAAAAGAGGCACAGAAACATGAGAAGGGTTGTCTGGCAATCCATGAACAGCTTTGTGGCTTAACTGTAAATTAATGACTAGGAACAACAGGAGAAAATTCTAGAAGGGTCAGCCAGATCCTATAGTCAGGAAGAAGCTTGGGTTCCCTCCTGCCAAAGTTAGGAAGTCAAGGGTACTTCTAAGCAGGAAGTCACATGGTAAAATATGAAGCATTCCTGATGCCTTGATTCTTTCAGAGAGGCCGCAGGAATCTCCACAGAAATGCAACATTCATGGGACAAATGATAAATGGGGTTCTAAAAAAGGACTTCACCTACCAGGTGCATACAAGCTCCTCAGATAAGAGAGGAAGAAAAGTCAGACAAAGAATATCAAAAAAGCAAAGCACTGTCTTCTACAAACATACATCTTCCAGGGACAAGATTATACAGCTTGTAGTGACCTCCATGAAGCCAGGCTGTGTCCTTGATTCATTTTTCACAACTTGGCAGTGACATCACCGAAAGAGTCTGTTGAGGAAATTCTGGAGACACATTTAGGACATCAGAAGTAACATCAGGCACAGCAGCTGCTCCTTCCCACCCATAGCAGATGTGAGCTAGCCTCCTAACAGACTGCCTGTCAACAGATGCTGCTCTCACACATGGCTCTCTTGCAAGCAAAGGGCCTCTGTCATGACACTGTCGCACAGACTTTTCCTCTCATGTTTTCTCTGATTGATTTTATGATTTGGAACACACTCTGTCCCAGGTAGCAACTTCACTAGAAAAATAGAGATGAAAAGACAATGAACTAGAGAAGCCCAGAGGTTTCCCCAATCTAATCCCTACTTGAGCAGCCAGCATAAAAAATACAGACCCAGAGATCAGCCCAGGGATTCTGGGAAGAGAAGGAATGGCGCAGAGTCCTAACTTGACAGCAGTCCAAAGCCACTTGAATAGACCCACATGTGTTCCTTCTCTTGCAAGACCCTCTGTTGCTCTCACAGAAACTCATGTAATCCTTCCAATGACGCAGTGCAGGCAAGCAGAGGGCTGACTCTTCTATTCTCTGGCCCTGGCTGGGTTTAGCCTGATTTACTCTGAGTCTCTTTCCAGTGCTCATATTCCCTCATTTGAAAGCCACACTCTGACTTGAGCTAGCCAAGCTGTTTGAGCCCAAAACAGCTATTGAAAAAGCTGGGTCTGACCCCATCATACTAGATATAATCCCACCAGGCTAAACATGACTACCCAAGACATAACCTAGATTAGGCGTTCAGAGTCATTAGCCTATACCTCTGAACCAAGTGAATAGTCCCAGGGTGACAGATGACTAAAAGAGATCCAATCCTGTTTCTTTATGGAAGATTTGATGTGGCCACATGAAGAAAAAGAGAGGGTCTGTTTTCTTTTCCTTGAGATAAACTATGGGTTTAAAGTCATCTTGGTCTTAGCTTGATCATTTCCACCATGTAGAGAGAGTAATCCAAAGAAATTATATCCACACAGAGAAAACCTGAGAGAAGAAATATACAAAGAAAATAAAATGTGAAAAGGTCTTTGAGCTGCTTGATCCCACTATGCCTGAAGCCAGGGCTACCCTTGGACTTTGAAGTTATATGAATCAAGTAAGTGTCCTCTTCCCCATTTTTTTCACTTTAACTAGTTTGAGTTAGCTTTTTGTTATTGACAAAGACTCCTAACTCACATAACTCCTCCCATAAGGGATTGTTATAGAGAGCTGAAATAAGGTATAATCAGTGCTCTGTACATTGGAAGCTCTCATAAATTGTAGTTCCTCCCCCATCGCATCCATCCAACAAAATACTAAGGAATGAAACTTCACACTGTGTAGGAACCGTGAAAGGCCAGAACATCCTGAGGGAACTCCAAGGAGCCTTTATTATTTTGATAAAAGAATACATCCGTCATTTTGTTTTTTGATAATGACATAAAAAGGTATTGCCATTACATACATTAGCC